GAGGCAGGGCTCCTGAGAAAGACAGGGTCCTGAGTCCCCTTGGAAAGCTACTCTTCTGGGGCTCAGTATCCCCGTCTTTCCTGCCATTGCCGTCTGGTTGGGAGGTTTGGTGAGGATACACGACGTGCAAGCTCGTACTGCTGGGGGGGGGCGGGTCGCTGATGGCTGGCTCTGCACTCTGGCCGTGTGACATGAGAGGTAGTGTCACCTGCTCTTCTTGTTCACACTTCAGCTTCTGACACGGCTTCTGAAGAGCAACCTCCCTGAGGACCTGCGGGCCGCCAACGAGCTGATCCAGACGCTGGTCAAGGAGGTAAGGGGGCGGGGTTTCCAGTGGGTGCTGCAGAGCTGGCCGTGGGCGTGTGTATGTGTGTGTGCACGTGCGTGTGCACACGCTGGAGGTGGTGGGCACACAGATGACGGGGAGAAGGGCTGGCCGCCTGGCCCTGAACCGGGAAACAGCCGTGGCTCCCTGAGGGCAGCCAGTGGTGACTGGGAGCAGGCCGTGCCGTTGCCACATGTGGCCCAAGAGCTTCTGTCCAGGGGCTCAGCATTACACCACATTGTTTTCTGTCCCAGTGACGGGAGCTGTGTGAACAGAGCCCAGGTTTGGGGATGTTTTCGGTGGCACAGCTGCATTGCCATCCCCAGCAATTGTGGGCTCTGAGCACCTTCCTCTCCCACTGAGCGTCCCCTCCCACCCACATCCCCAAGCTGACCCTGCTGTGCCCCCTGCCCGGAGGCCTCGCCCCCTCACACCCACGCCCGCCTCTCTCCCTGCAGGAGCAGGAGAGATCAGAAAAGGTGTCCAGGAGGGTGAGTGCCGTGGAGGAGGTCCGCAGCCACGTGAAGGTGCTACGGGAGATGCTGGGCGTGTACCGCAGACCAGGGCAGGCGCCCCCGGACCAGCAGGCCCTGCAGGTAGGTCTTGTGGACGCAGGTGATAGGCACATGCCCGGGGGCTGACGGGCTGGAAAGTGGACGTGTTTTGTCACATCTGTCCTCAAAGCCGTCGTCAGGATCCGGACATCAAACGTGCCCCTTACTCACCCCCAGGTTTTCTCCTGCTCTTCCGCCCGTGTCCCCACCTACGATCTGCTTTCTGGCCTGATGAGGTTGCTGTCCTAGACTTCTGTATAAAGGCAGCGATGCAGCGTGTGCCCTTGTCGGGAGTGTGTGTGTGTCTGGTTTCTCCCCCTTGGCATAATGGAGTCCACTCTTGTACGTATTCACAGCTTACTCCTGCTTCGTGCCTGGTGGCATTCCGCTGTCTGTGCACCTCGTGTGCGCCCACTCACCTGTTGGTGGGCACCGGGGTCACACCCCACTTGGGCGATTATGAATCGGGTGCTACAAACAGTTGTCTGCAGGGTTCCGTGTGAACGTGCAGCAGCTTTTCTCTAAATGGTGAGGTCACAGGCCGAGTGTCCACGTAACATAAAGCAGCTGCCTGGCAGCTGGCCCAGGTGGCTGCCATGTTGTGTCCTGACGGCGTGTGAGGGTTTCAGTTCCCCATACCTTACACTTCCAGAGATCTTTTCTTTAAAAATCACCTTTATGGAGAAGTCACATAAAACATAAGCAGCCAACACCACTATCTGGCTAGAAGGGTTTAATCACCCCTAAAAAGAAAACGCTGTTCCCGTGAGCGGTCACTCCCCCCCTACCCCCTTCCCCCAGCTCTGGGAGCCCACTGACTGGTCTGTTTCTGTATCTGTGGTTCGCCTGTTGGGACATTTCATGTTTCATGTCAGTGGACTCAACAGCACGTGGTCTCTGAGTCTGGCTTCAGTCAGCAGCGTGGTGTTGAAGCGTGTCCATGTCGTGGCGTGTCATTTCTGCCTTCCTTTCTGTAGCTGATGTCCCCCGTGTGCTGGCACGGCTTCCGTTATCCCTTCTCAGCTGGGCCGGGCATGTGTTCACCTGTTGGCTATTATGGAGAATGCTCTGAACATCCGTGTCCTCGTCGTGTGAATGCTTTGAATTCCCCTGGGTGGTACCGTGGCGTGGACTTGCTGTCACAGCTGCCAGACTGTTGACTGAGTCCTCACCCCGATGGGCAGCCCACCAGCAGTGTGTGAGGTCCTAGGTTTTCACATCCTGCCGACACTCGTTTGTCTTGGTAACGGCCATCCTGGTGGGTGTGCAGCCCGCGCCTCACTGTGGCTTTGGTTTGTGCTTCTCCGATGGCTTAACTTGAGTTTTCTTGTGTCCACATGCATATCGTCTCTGGAGAAATGTTTGTTTAAATTCTGTGCCCATTTTTTATATTGGGTTGTCTCTCTGGTTTTTTTTTTTTACCAGAGTTCTTTGTGTATCCTGGATACACACCCCTAATCAGACCATATTTTCTCTCCCATTCTGTGGGTTCTTTGCACTGTCTTTACAGCGTTTTGAAGCAAAAGGTTTTAACTTGAAAG